TTTTGTGGTAAGAACTCCCGGGTCCCATCGTTTTTTAAAATATACTCTGCCCTACCCTCAAATATCTAAAAACTTACTATATATGATGGAACTTTCCTTTTTTTCATTGTATTATTATTATTATTATTATTATTATTATTATTATTATTATTATTATTATCATCATCATCATCATCATCATCATCATCATCATCATCATCATCATCATCATCATCATCATCATCATCATCATCATCATCATCATCATCATCATCATCATCATCATCATCGTTATCATCATCAACATCATTATAAAGTGTGTCTACAGACAACCCAGCGCGACTCAATAGGCAACAACGGCGGCCATTGACAACCCGTTGACAACTGTGGAAGCCAATGGCAGATGATAACTACGGAGCCGCAGGGATGGCATTCCTAACAATAATAGTACTTCTTCCATCGAGAATCTATTTCTGCATTTTACTTTTCATGATCTTTGATGTAACACTTTGACCATTAATGTTTATATTAATATTTATGCATATATATTTTTTACAATTTATGTTTTAAAAGGAATTTATTGATATTAGATTTATATATTAACACAATGATTTTTTTTTCAAATATTGAGGTAAAAAATTTACAAACTTTGATTAAAAAAAGTCAAATGAAAAAAAGTTTTCCATACGGATTTAGTAATAGTAATAATAGTAATAATAATAATAATAATAATAATAATAATAGTAATAATAATAGTAATAATAATAATACAAGAAGGAAAAATATGAAGGGAGTAATTTTTTTTGTGAACACAGTGCCACTTTTATTGTTAATACACTGATTTTGCATAAAACTTTTATTTTATGTATTATACCAACTGCATTTCACCATTTTTATCAACATAGTTATTTTTTTTTGTTTTTAAAAGAATGTCATCGAAGTTTTACTTCAAAAAAACTTTATATGGAGTATAACTGTTGGGTTATGGGAAAGAAGAACACCGAGATTTATACTGGTTCACCACCTCGTGGCTAATCCAGTCTTCCGAGAGACTCTCTCGAAAGTTCTACTAATCTTCAAGCTTCAACGGGTGCTTGAAAAACCGGTACAACTTGGAAACTTGAATCACACAAGCCTCACTTTCTTACAACAACAAGACTTGAGTCACACAAGTCTTAAGAACAACACTCATTTCTCTAACTCAAATGTTGTGTTCTTACTTTCGAGTGTGTTAACTCGTTTCATCACAACTTCTTAAATTCGAGATACCTACTGTTGAAGAAATCGTGAGTTTCTTTTATAAAGATTGAGAGTTTAATAATATTTTGATGAGGAAGATGAAGCAAAGGATGAATATAGCTCAAAGAATATATTGGAGTGCAAGAGGTGTATTTAGAAATGAAGGAGAATAAGGGATTAAATAGGCTGAGGAAAATAAAGCCGTTGAAGAAAAGCTGATGATATGCACCAGACAGAATTAATCGATTAATTTAGGAATTTTAATCAATTAAAGTGTACAGAAGCGAAAAGGCTTGAAACCAAACGTGGAATTAATCGATTAAAAACGAGGGAATAATCGATTATTCTGCTCTGTTTAAACTAATCGATTAAAGTGATAAATTTAATCGATTAAGTTGATTTGCCTGAGAAAACCAGCGCTGTGAAATTGGATCTAATCGATTATTTTAGAATAAATAATCGATTAAAGTAAAAATAATGCGCAAACATGAAGGGCCCAAGCCAAGCGCGATTGGAAGCCCTTTGGCTTCTAACTCGTTGTTTTGGACAACGGGAATATCAACGGACAACGTACGCTCCTATTCAATGAATTTGAGTAGGGGAGAAAATGAAAGTCTAAAAATTATTTTTTGTGTCAAACGATGTACACGAAAAATATTTAAAGTATATTTTTCTTACCAAAAAAATTGTGTAATCTTAAAAGAATGTTTTTAAGAAATTTTGACACACTTATTTGAAACTGACTCAATAAAATATTTTAGACAGAGGAAAAGTAATTTTTCAACTGACTCAATAAAAATACTTTAGACATAGGAAAAGTAATTTTTCAATTGACTCAATAAAAATATTTTAGACAGAGGAAAAGTAATTTTTCAACTGACTCAATAAAAATTTTTATCCCTCAGAAATTAATTTGTTTGTGCAGAAGATAATGTCATCCTTACAAAAATTCCTAGACTAAAATAAAAAAGTCTTCGGAGTCTTCACTTCACTTCAAAAAAATCTGCGTAGGGGTGATCGTCGATTTATATCGCCATAAACTTCTTGATACCCTTCTTTGCTTTTCTAGATACGAAAAATAAATTTTCGATCAGCTGGAAATTAATCATCCTTTTTGTCATTCATCAAAACAAAAAATATTCCAGAAGAAATAGAAAAGGGGTTTGAACTCATGTCTAACAATTTCCCCCTTTTTGATAATGACAAACATAGTTGAGAATGAGCAAAGTAAGAGTTCAGAAATTACTTCTTTTTAAGAAAAATTCTCCCTGCAAAGTTAGAGAAATGCAGTAAAAATAATCATCGGAGTAATAAGCGGAAAAAAATTCTCAACTATCCTTCCTTCCCCCTTTTGGCATTATCAACCGATAACCTTCCCCTTTAAACAATGCCGGGATATTGAAGGAAAAAGATGGCAAGAGTTTTCTTTAAAAGAGAATTTGTAAAAAAAATGCCACAAAGGGACAATATGTTCTAAATAAGAACAATATTGCCAAACCAACAATGATATTAATACACAAGCAGTTAATATCAACTAGCATCATCGAAAGGAAATATCATCATCCACCAAAAGAGTCATAACAAATAACAATGTATCATAATCAGTCAAGAGAAAATAACAATCAAAGAGAGTTCGCCGGACGAGCTCCTCCGCCAAAGCTGTGACGCAGTCCACGGTAGGAGCGAGATTGCTCAAGACGAGTCATCCTCTCGTTGTGCTGGCGAACGTCATCTCGGATGCACGTGAGAGTATCGAAGATCTTCTTCACCCAAGAAGGTTCCGGTGCTTCTTCTCTCGGACGAGTCCTCCGTTGACGAGTGACGCGCTCCGTGGCTCGACTTCCTCTGGCTTGAGATGACTCAGCTTGATTCTCGTTTTGGCTTTCTTGTTCTTCTTCGGCGACTATCAGGTCCAGATTTGGTGCAGCATCGCCCTCCTCTCGATACACGATCCGGGAAAACTTGGCTTCAGTGATGAAACACGTCTTCTTGACCGGCACCTGAGTGTCCCGAGTAAAGTCTATTTTGCAATGAGCAAGGATATGCATAATGGGGATGGCAAAACGGAGATGGGAAAAACGAGTGTCATCGCTAAGTGCAACGATAAAGAAGTGAACCCAATCAAATTTGACATCGTTCAACAGGACGTGAAACAAACGAATATCGTCCTTGTTGACAACGCCATGGTTCGAATCACGGGGCAACAAAAAATATGAGAAGATGTATTGTTGGACGCGTTGAATTAAAGTGAGATTAATGACACTCGGGTTGCTAGAGTTTCTAAACTTGAGGTCACGATGATCTAACCCGAGTTGTCGCCAAATTGCCTCATCTTGGAATGTTTCATCCAAGTTTTCGGTAATTTCACCGCGACGAAGGCCAAACAAAGAAATCAAACCGACACCGTCAATGAAAACGGTTTTGCCGTCAACATAGGAAATGAGAGATGGCGAACCTCCCTTAGTGGTACGAAGATTTGCATAAAATTGACGTATAAGATTTGGACAGAAAAATTCATATGTCAAATGAATGAAACGAAGCAAACCTTGCTGAAGAAACATAGACTTACTCGGGGCATAGGTCGCCGATTTGAAGAGGTCCTTGTTCACGATCTTGGGAGAGACGATCTCCTTCGTGAGGAAAATGTTGTGGAACCTCTCAACTGAAGCCCCAGTGTTGAAGGCGAGACCCGTTTGAATGTGAATATACTTGCTCCCTTCACGACGCCATGGTCTCTCATTCTCCTCTGCCGCGGTTTCTTGACCCGAGGAAGCGTTCTTGCACCTTGGCATCCTTCCTCTTTGAAATTGATGAAATTTTAAAAAAAATGGAAGAAATTTGAGAAATTTATGATGAAGATTGAGAAGATTTGAGAAGGGAAGAAACTAGGGTTTATGTGATTCGAAAAAGGGAATGGCGAAGAAGACGAAGCCTGGGCTGGATATAAGGGCATAAAACGAATATTAATCGATTAAAAGAAAGTATTTAATCGATTAAGGTACACAGCCGAGGCAAAATCGATTAAATGAAGAATATTAATCGATTAAAATTTGAGACCAAACGTTTGCGTTTCAAGCTATTAATCGATTAAGCAAACGGGATTAATCGATTACGATGGACAGATGAGTCTAATCGATTAATGTAACCAAATTAATCGATTAAAGTGACGCAGAGCAAAAAGTTTCGGATTTTAATCGATTAACAAAAGTCAAGTAATCGATTAAGAGGGACAGAGGCGACTAATCGATTTCTCTTCGAGGAGTAATCGATTAAAATTTGTTTGACGGAAAAAATATCAAGTCCAATTAGGTTGAATACCAAGGGAAGAGATACCTACAATAAAAGCCCTGCAAAAAAGAATTTATCGCGCCTCCGATGCTCAAATTAGTATAGTAAAAAAAAAAGGATTAGTTCATAGAGATATCCAAAATTCCAAGTTCGTTCCGAATGTGGAAGAAACTCTCCCTACTAAGGGGTTTCGTGAAAATGTCTGCCAATTGATGTTTCGTTTCAACAAACTCAATTGTGACATCTCCCTTTTGGACGTGATCTCGTATGAAGTGATGCCTAATTTCTATGTGCTTAGCCCTCGAGTGAAGAACGGGGTTCTTCGTTAGACTGATAGCGCTCATATTGTCACACCTAATAGGGATGTGATCAAGTATAAGGCCGAAATCCACTAGTTGTTGTTTTAGCCAAAGAATTTGGGCACAACAACTTCCCGCAGCGACATATTCTGCTTCGGTGGTGGAAAGTGCAACACTAACCTGTTTCTTACTAAACCACGAGATTAGCGAATGACCGAATAAGTGGCAAGTACCGCTGGTAATTTTCCTATCGAGTTTGCAACCTGCAAAATCCGAGTCGGAATAGCCAACAAGATGACATGTTGAACCTTTGGGATACCAAAGACCTACATTCAACGTGCCCGCGAGATATCGCATTATCCTTTTGACCGCAACCAAGTGCAACTCTTTAGGACATGATTGATACCTAGCGCATATACAAACGGAGTACATGATATCCGGTCTACTCGCGGTGAGATAAAGTAAAGAGCCGATCATACCTCGGTAGCGCTTGATGTCAACATCTTTACCTTTTTCGTCCTTGTCGAGATAGCAAGAGGTGCTCATTGGTGTGTCAATGGATTTGGATTCGGTAACATCGAACCTTTTAAGCAATTCCCTACAATATTTTGTTTGACACACAAATGTTCCTTCTTTGCATTGTCTAATTTGCAGCCCAAGGAAGAACTTTAATTCTCCCATCATTGACATTTCAAATTCACTTTGCATCATATCGGAAAAATCCTTGCACAAAACCTCGTTAGTAGCACCGAATATGATATCATCTACGTAAACTTGAACCAAAAGGATGTCTTGGTTATCTTTCTTGATAAAAAGAGTAGTGTCGACTTGACCCCGTTTGAACTCATGGTCCAAAAGAAATTTGCTTAACCGTTCATACCAAGCACGAGGTGCTTGTTTGAGACCGTAAAGCGCCTTTTTGAGTTTGAAGACATGTTCGGGAAACTCATAGTCTTCGAAACCCGGGGGTTGTTCGACATACACTTCCTCTTGAATGATACCATTAAGGAAGGCACTTTTAACATCCATTTGATAAAGTTTAAAATCCATTGTAGATGCAAATGCAAGCAATAAACGAATAGCTTCTAAACGTGCAACCGGTGCATAAGTTTCTTCATAATCAATGCCTTCTTCTTGATTGTAGCCTTTAGCTACAAGCCTAGCTTTGTTTCTAGTGATTAT